TTTTCTGCTACTCAGTGATCCACTCCTGCCTAGCATTTTGAGTAAAGCACTTGCACAGTAGGTGGTAGCACTGAGCAGAGCGTGTAATATTTTTGCATGGTCCAGAACCAAGGGAGGCCCTGGCACATGAAAGGGATGAGAAAAGGAGAGTAGAGAGCTGAGGGAGGATTGCTGGGATCTTGGCCAGAAGTCATGGCCTCAAACAGGAGGAAGGAAAGATCACTATAATAAAATCAATTGGTTTTAGCTATTTGAATAACTAATGGTTACTAACAAATAGCAACGATTCTTTTTTAGGAAAGACTTTTGTTATACTTACTGAAGAATAGAGAGATCATTGATGTGAGGCATGCAAAGGAATCAGAGCAACTTCATATAATTGCTGAAGTTTTTTGAATGTTTGAGATGTCATTTATTTTAATGTTTGAGATACCAGTATTTTAAGCAATACTTAAGGAATCAAAATACTCTACACAGCCATTGTCGTGGTTTAAACCCAGTCAGGCAACTTGTTCACTCACTCCCAGTGAGTGGTGCCCGAGATGACAACAATCAAGGTCCGTGTATGTCTCTTCCCCCCCCCCCCCCCGCACCGGGGCTCTCCCCTTCCCCGCTCCCGGAGGAACGGGGAGGAGGATCGAGAGAGTGCAACTCCTACGGGTTGAGACAAGAACAGTCCAGCAACAAATCACCACCGCTACTATCAGCTAAAACAATGATAAGGGAAAATAACAAGGGAAGAGAATACGATACCACCGGCCAAGAAAGCGAGTTCCACCCGGAAGCCCATGTCCTTCCAGGTAACTCCCAGTTACCCCCCACCCCGGGCATGACGTGCTGTGGTATGGAATACCTCCCTGGCTAGCCTGGGTCAGGTGCCCCGTCTCTGCTTCCTCACAGCTTCCCCTCCTCCCTGGCAGAGCATGAGCCTCACAGAGTCCTTGGTCAGGGTAAACATCACTTAGCAACAACCGAAAACATCGGCTTCACCAACACTGTTCTCAAGCTAGAAGTCAAAACACAGCACTGCACCAGTTAACACAAAGGAAAAACATGACTGCTACTGCTGAACCCAGGACAGCCATAGAAAGAGATTTTTAGCACTTAGGCTTTTCCAGTAGGAAACTGAAGGTTAGCAATATTTGTTTGAAAGTAACTGTTTCAAACTAATGGAAACACTTCATATACAACGTGAGATCTCAGTACTTCCTCTAAGGGAAGCTCCCAGGAAACTAGAGGTTGGCTAGCCTCACCTCAGTACCTGGGAAGGTGATGGAGTAACTAACCCTGGAACCCATTTCCAGGCACATGAAGGACAAGGAAGTCATTGGGAGTACTCAGCACAGATTCACCACCACTTGACCAACTCGATAGCTATCTATGTCCTGAGGTGAGAGCAGTGGATACTGCCTACCTAGACTTCACTATGGCTTTTGGTGCCATTGTTATAAATGTGGCTCAAATAAATTGATGAGAACCAGACCAATGAATCGAATTGTTTTATTAAGCAAGCAACAGAAAGCAAAACAGCGCTGGGCGGCCGGGGAGTCTCTGCTCCGCCAACGGCACGCAACCCACTTCCCCAAAGTCACTGGTTTTATACTCTTCTTCATCTGATATACGTGTCACTTCTTGGCGTACTCTGCGTCTGTGTGGCCTGTTGATAAGGGGTCTCATTCTGCCTTCCTGTGGGTGTGGGGAGGAAGGCTCCTTACCTCCTTCCCCATACATCGCGTACTTTAATAGATGCCTGGGGTCTATAAGCAAAATGTCAAAGTACCATAATTTTCTAGTAACTCTTAAGCAAGCAATTTACTCATCACAGTCATAATTTTCCAGTAACTCTTAAGCAAGCAAGATTTGATTAACAAACAGGAATTTACTCATCACAATCCCCCCTTTTTCTGTTTACCATTTTGTTCATCAAATCTTTGGAGTTCTGCGCGGCTTAAAATTAAGGCATCTTCTACTGCAAGTTCCTTATCTAGTGGCTCACTGTCGTGGTTTAAACCCAGTCAGGTAATTCGTTCGCTCACTTCCCCCCCTTTCTTGCCCTCCCCCTGCTCTCGGAGGGACGGAGAGGAGAATCGAAAAGAATGCAACTCCCACGGGTTGAGATAAGAACAGTTTAGTAACTAAGGTATAACACAAATCACTACTGCTACCACCAATGATAATAATGATAAAGGAAATAACAAGGGAACAGAATACAACACCTCACCACCCGCTGACCGATAACTCGCCCCCCAAGCCCGACCAAGCTCCGACCGATACCTCCTCCAACCCTGCAGTCTCCCAGCCCTTCCGGCTAACTCCCAGTTACCTCCTGGGCATGACGTGCTGTGGTATGGAATAGCTCTTTGGTCAGTTTGGGTCAGGTGTCCTGTCTCTGCTTCCTCCTGGCTTCCCCTCCCCCCTGGCAGAGCATGAGGCTCACAAAGTCCTTGGCCAAACCAAAACATCGCTATCAGCTCTGTTCCCGAGCTGAAAGTCAAAACACTGCACTGCACCAGCTACCAAGGAGGAGAAAAATGACTGCTACTGCTGAACCCAGGACACTCACATTGAGCCCTAATGAGCATCAAGTGGGCGGCCTCTATCCTGTTTTTCACAATTGCAATCACTTTATTAAACACACAGGGGCCAAAAGTTAGTCCCAGAATTAACAATATTAAGGGCCCTGCAATGGTAGACAGTAATGCAGTCAACCATGGAGAGTAATTAAACCATGACTCATACCAACTTCGTTGGGCTTCTCGCTCCCTTTTTCTTTTTTCTAGTCCTTCTCGTAACTTGGTCATGGTATCCCTTACAACCCCAGTACGATCAGCATACACACAACATTCTTCCTTAAGTGCGGCGCAAAGCCCTCCTTGTTGTAGGAACATTAGGTCTAATCCTCTTCGATTTTGTAACGCTACTTCAGATAACGACTGTACAGATTTTTCTAGGGCACTTATGGATTGTTCAATTCTGACTAAGTCCTCATCTACAGCCATTCTTAAGGAGTGAAATTCTTTACTTTCTTTTACTAATGAGGCTACTCCTGTACCTACTCCTGCACCTCCCAAGATCATCAAAGTGGCTATCATTAATGCAGTGAAAGGTTCTCGTTTAAACAGGTGATGGTCTTGGGCAGTCTGGTGGTCATACATAAAATTTTCAGGATGGTAAAGAATTCTTGGTATTATCATTACTTGGATTCAAAAATCTGAGGAATCATTAAACAATTCTAGCAACAGGCAAGGTGTTACACCTATTTTTGAGCAAACCCACTTGGCGTTTTTGGCTGGTAATAACCACTTAGTTGTTTTTTTCTGTTTAGCAGCATTTGCATTAACATCACATAGATGTTTTTGACGTCTCGGAATTTTTACTACACATCTGCCCTTTCCAATGACCTGAGTCAATGTTATCCCTTGATTTTCCTTTCCCCATGTACATTCTGCTGGGTTAGAACCATTTACACGCCTAGCCTTTGTAGTAACTCCCACTGCTTCATAAAAAGGAGGCTTTATGCCATAACACAGCCAGCAATGTTCGGTTAGGTTGGGACTGGTGGCATTTAACAACTGGTAACTAGCTTCCATTAATTTCCAAAGAAAGTTGTCTCCATTACTGTCCTTAGGATTTTGAGTGTCATTTAATACTAGAATCATTGAGTTGTTGGAAATTATTGTGTCATTTTTACCCCCACTTCATCTATTTCAGGAATTTCCTCTGATGGTTTTTCTGCTAATACTTTGTTAGGTCCTACGGGTTTAGGATCTTGTGGGATTGGTTCCTTCTTTATTAAAATGAGGCCCCCACTATCGGCTCCTGGTTCCTTTTATCGAACCCCCCAAGTTTTCCCGGTTATCCACCCTTGGTTGAAAGGGTTCGTTACATTAATCATAAGATGCTGACAGTTTCCCAGTTTGATTCTCCCACGGGGAGCCAATACTATTCCTCCATTCCAATTTCGTTCCGGAGGGGTACATCCATAAGGCCCCCATTGTACCCTTAAAAACCTGTCTGGAGTTCCAGGGACCCAATCTGAGGCTATTGTTTCGCATCCCCAGTAGGCACAGTAATACTCCCTGGGGTAATTGCAATATCCTTTTCCTGGATTCGAGCTTGGGCAGAAGTAAAATCCCACACGATCTAAACACGGGCTTCTAGGCACTAGTTGACAGAGGCTAGCAGTAAAAGTGGGCCTTCCTGATGTGATTACACTTTGGACTATTCATTGATCTTCCCATCTGAACAAGGTCCACCTGAAAGATTGATGGACATATCCTTTTACCGGGATTAATGTCCATCCCCATATCCAATAGATGATCCAGAAAATTGGTGAGTTACCTCCTCTCATAAATCTGGATATCCAATCCTTCCCTTGAAATTTGGTAGGGGTCTTACTACCCACCTGGCCCATCCACTTAATTTGCACTTCCTTCCACCCTAAACTTTTGGTGGCTATGGTCCCTCTATATCCCCACCTTAGTACGCCTCTGCCTCCATCGCCTACTCCGTTGCCTGGAGCAGCGAGGTCATTTTTCTTCTCGGCAGCAGTTGCAGTCTTCAGGGGCTTGGCCATAGTTGAATCCTAATATTCTTGAGGGCAGAGTTTAGGGCTCTCGGGTATATATTCCCCTTGTTCCAGTCATCTCCCTTTTTGGATATAGGTAGCTGCCCTTAAAGGCACCTATGAGCCCACCAATTTTCTGATCCTCAATAATCAGTTTCTATTCCTGGTTTTCCTTTGTTTCCACCCAAATCAAATTTTGCAAATTTCAATTGTTCAATCCCAATCCAAAGTTACAACCCTTCCTGCAGAAGTTCTATGTATTCCTTCTAAGAGGACCCGTCTGTCAAATCTAAGTATATAATGTTTCTGGACTTTCCCGCAGCCACGTTTTAATTATACTTTATGTCCCTTTCTTCAATGTGATCTTAAGGTCCCCAGGTTGGCTGGTCACTTTCCACTGTATATCTTGAATCGGACCCTTGACGCGTGTCGCATGGGTCCATCCATGTTCGGCTGTACGAATCGCTGTTTCTGTGGTAAGTAAAACAAGAAATGGTCCCTCCCATCGAGGAGTTAAAGATGCCTCTTTCTATGTTTTAACTAATACTTTATCTCCTGATTTAATGGAGTGTATGAACATATTTAGAGGTGGTCTCTGGGCTATCATACCCCGTTTGCGCAATTCTTCCCTTCTCTGCATTAAATGTACGATGTAAGTTTTAAGATATTCATCCTCTACCTTCGGGTGTTCGGCTGGGAATTCCATATCATATGACATTCCATACAACATTTCAAAGGGGGATATCCCTACATCAGTTCTTGGCTGAGTTCTCACATTCAACAACACTAGAGGTAAACACTTTACCCAGGAAGTTTTAGTTTCTAACATAATTTTTGTTAACTGTTTCTTAATTTCCCCATTCATTCTTTCCACTCATCCACAGCTTTGCAGATGCCACGGGGTATGATACTCCCACTTTGTCCAAATAGGAGCTAACGCTTCCCTAACTATTTTGGAAATGAAATGAGGACCCCTATCAGAGTCAATGACTTCTATAATCCCATACCTTGGGACTATATTCTCCAGTAATATTTTCACTACACTGTTGGCTGTGGCTGTAGCAGTAGGGAATGCTTCTACATAGTGTGTCAAATGGTCTACTATTACTAATAAATACCTATATCTCCCTACCTTAGGCAGTTCAGTAAAATCTACCTGTATTCTAGCGAAAGGACGGGTCGCCAATTCCCGCCCTCCAGGTATCTGCCTTCGGAGGTGTTGTTTATTCACACGTTGGCAAATCAAGCAATCTCCTATCACCTGTTTTGCAACGTTATGAACTCCAATACACATATATTTTAGGGCGAACTGATCTATTAAGGCTTGGGCTCCCCAGTGTGTGGACCTATGGAATTCTTTCATAACTTTCCAAGACAAAGTTTTCGGTAGTACTACTCTGCCATCCGGTAGTTTCTACTCTCCCTGACTTTCTTTTACTCCCATCTGTTTTAAGTTTTTCGCATCCTTGTGTGGTGAACGCTACCGCTTGAGGTTCCCTATTCTTGGGCTGCTGATCTTGTAGACCTTTTCTCTGATGGATTATAGATACTGTTAAGAGCGCTGCCCGTTTTGCTTCCGTGTCTGCTAAATTGTTTCCTCTTATTGTGGGAGATAAGCAATTTACTCATCACAGTCATAATTTTCCAGTAACTCTTAAGCAAGCAAGATTTGATTAACAAACAGGAATTTACTCATCACAATATCTCCACACAAGATCCTCATAGACAAGCTGTGAAGCTGGCACAAATGTAGTTGGAGACCAGAAACTAGCAGTGTACCCCATGGGTCAGTACTGGGGGCAGTCCTGTTTAGCATCTTCGTTAATAATCTGGATAGGGTAGATGACACAAAACTGCAAGGAATGGCTGGTGTGCCAGAGGGCTGTGTTGCCGTCCAGAGGGACCTGGACAGGCTGTAGAAGCAGGCTGACAGGCACATCATGCAGTTCAACAATGTAAAGTGCAAAGTCCTGCATCTAGGGAGGAACAACCCCAGGCATCAGTATGTGTTGGGGGCCACCCACCTGGAAAGAAGTTTTGTAAAAGATGTGGAAATCATCGTGGACACCAAGCTGAACATGAGCCAGCAATGCACTGTTACAGCAAAGAAGGCTAATTATATCCTGGGATGCATTAGGAGTATTGTTAACAGCTCAAGGAAGGTGACTGTTGTCCTCTATTCAGCACTGGTGAGGGCACACCTGGAATTTTGTGTTCAGTTTTGGGCTCCACAGTACAAAAGAGGCACTGACATGTCTCACAATGAGCCACAAAGATAATGAAGAGGCTGGAACATCTCACATTTGAAGAAAGGCTGAGAAAGCTGGGACTGTTCAGCCTAGAGAAAAGAAGGCTGAAGGAAGATCCTATCAACGTATATAAATAGCTGACTGCAGGGTGTTAAGATTTGAGACAGGCTTTCAGTGGTGCCCAGTGACAGGACAAGAGGCAATATGCACAAACTGAAGTACAGGAGGATCCATTTAAACATAAGGAAACACTTTTCTTGCTATGACAGTGAGGAAGCACTGGAACAGGTTGCCTAGAAAAGTGAAAGACTCCATCTTTAGACATATTCAGAAGTCATCTGGACATGGTCCTGGGCAACCAGCTCTAAAAGGCCTTGCCTGAGCATGGGATTTGGACCCCTTATAAACATAAGGATTAATAGGAAGGAAATAAAAGTGAAAAATATGAAAATGGGAAAGAATAAGAGACATGCTGAATTGAAATTCAGAAAAAAATCTGACACACTGGTTAAGACTATTCAGTTTAGGTAGCACTTTATAAAGAAAATAAAAGATCATTCTCACTGCAAAAATAAAGTGTTTGTTTTTTTTTTTTTGGGGGGGGGGGGTGTTCTTGTTTGTTTTCTTTTTTTTTAGCCCTACTCATAGAGAATGGGCTCAGAATATAAACTTTCTGTTGTGCTGCAGAAGTAAACAAAGTTTCCATCCTTACAAATCTCGTATCAATTACTACATAATGCCTGATAATTAATGAGATATAGTAATGCAATACCATTCTTTTTTTCCCCACTTATTCTTAAATGGAAGTAGAGGACTTGGTTAGATCCAAAGAGCCTATATTAACTAGCAAGACCTGTTAAAAGTACCAAAACCACATTTCCTTTTAACTAATTCTGTATTGTATTTGCGTGGCAAGGTTTTGGTAGTAGTGGGGCTACAGAGGTGGTTTCTGTGAGAAGCTGCTAGAAGCTTCCCCTGTGTCAAATAGAGCCAATGCCAGCCAGCTCCAAGGCGGACCCGCTGATGGCCAAGGACGGGGTAGAGAAAATCAGGAGTGAAGTTGTGCCTGGGAAGAAGGGAGGGGTGGGGGGGGGGGAAGGTGTTTTAAGGTTTGGGTTTATTTTTCATTGTCCTGCTTGGATTCGATTTTGCCCATGACAGTAACTGCTGAGTGATCTCCCTGTCCTTATCTCAGCCCATGAGCCTTGCACTGTATTTTTTCTCCCCTGTCCAGTTGAGGAGGAGGAGTGACAGACTGGCTTTGGTGGGCACCCAGCATCCAGCCAGGGTCAACCTATCACAAGTTCTTATTTCAGGCAGGCAACACTTTACTCTGAAAGCTATCCTGTAAGTTCAGCAATTGCCCCAAAGAAATACTGCCAAAAGATGTCAAGCAGCCATTTCTCCGCATTTGCTCTGCTTCAGAGGATTCCATTTGGTTCTTTGAACAAAATCTATACAAATATCCTGAAAATTTCTTTAGATATCATAGGTACAAGATGCGATAAACTTGGCTGTTTGATCAAGAGTGTAAAAAAACCTGTATGGAACTTGCAGAGATATCACAATCTGTTATTAACAACACCATCACTGAATGCAAATAGTAAATACCAACTCACTGATTGCCAGAAATATGTAAACATACTCTATCTATTGATTGCATAGTTAAAGCCCTGGAAACTCAGCTAAGAGTAAACACTTCAAATTTTATTGGATTCTTTGATATAAAAGTGATGCTGGAGATTATTAGACTACGCAGAATCCTGGATTCCAGAGATAGCAAAGTGCATATTGACCCTTTAAGATTTAAAACAGTAATACCTACAGCCAACAAAAATTGAAAACCAAACAACATCCACCCTCCGAGCACCACAAATTACTGATCTACAAAATGAAAAACATAAAAAAAAACTTCTTTATTTCCTGCTCTTGGCTTAGAATATATCTTCTTAGCATGCCAGATCTAAATTACATCCAAAAGATTATGCTCTTTGACACCTCCCTGGTAACTGGACTTTAAAGCGGAGCATATATACTTTTGAATATATTACAGAAAAGAATTTAAGGAAAATGAAGGCTAAATGTTGAGTAATCAAAACAGACTACATCAATCCCACAGTTGAATTTAGTTCAATACACTGTATATACATAAATTACCTTTGTGTTTTATTATTTTTTTCAATTATTGTGAAGCACTTCAACAGAGCATCTCAAAAGTGTATGCTACAAATAAAGAAAATTTAGGTTCAAACTAAACTAGGGAAACAGGGCTGGGGGAGGTCTTCACTCACATGCAAGGATGCTACTTCCTTCGAAAAATGGGCAGTTGTAAAGATGATATAATCTTTGACAGCAGTATAATTTGTTTTCTACCAGCAGGTATGCAATGTTTACCTTTTTTTTTTTTTTTTTTGAGACATCTCAATATTCTCATTATTCACAATAGATTTTAAAACCACAGTAAAATTTGGTGTTAAAAAAAATCAGGTTCATAGAGGAGAACAAATGGAATTGCTGCAGGCTGTGGCAACATACATAACCCTGAGACAGAAAAGAAACTCAGGCTAGAAACAAACTCCATCGGGTTCACACAGGCCAGCATCAGTGACAGACATTATACCTTAGGATAAAAACATTCAGAAATACATCTTTCCCACTTTGCTACACATGAAACCCAGCCAGCCAGGGTACACCCAGTCCTACCACAAACTCCTTGAACCACTTACAGCAAGTTTCCCCTCCAAGTGATGGCTTCAGAGGGCTCTGACAGACTGACCACAGACATTTCAGACCACAAAGTGACCCCTGAACTCCAAAAGGCATCTGAGGAATACACCAGAAGGCTGTGGTTGCAGAAAGTTTCGAAGCATGGTTTCCTTAGCCCTGTTGATAGGGGAGAGCTCCATTTGCCCTTCGGCAGTCAGGAACTTCCTTCAGTGACTGGTAAAGGAAAATCGTATCAGGCAGTTCCCTATCTTCTAATAAAACATAAATACTCCTCATGTATAGGAACATGAGATAGATTTTAACACCAACAAAAATTCTGCTCATTCCCCCACTAAGCTCGCCATCCAAGCTCTGGCATTTGCACAAGTGACATAAACATACAGTTCAATACCTAACAAGCCATGTCAGGCTGCTCCCCACTAATTTCTTCAAATAGGATACAAAGGACAGTACACATTCTGCCCACTTGCCTCGAACTTAATGCGTACTGTATAGCATTTTGCTTTCAAAGAAGACAAGTGAGCCGCACAGGGGAAAACTACCTCTCTTCTCGTGGCGACCTCCTCCTCGGTGAAGTACAGCTCCAAGGAGGGGGCGGGCTTTTCCGGAGGGCGCCTGTGCATGCGCGGGAAGGAAAGGGTCGAGAATGGGGGACGGAGGGAAGAAGGGCTGTAGCCGGCGAGAGAGGAAAGTGATGTGAGGAGGGGTCTGCAGCATGGTACTGTGGAGAAGGGTCAGGAGCAGGTGTGCCTTCTCAGAGGTGAGTCCTGAGAACGCGCAGGGGAGCGTGCACAGAGTGCCTGAGGCTCTGCAGGTTTGCTGAGGGGAAAACGTGCTACGTTAGAAGGCTGAGCTGTGAGGATGCTATAGGTGGGGAGTTGTGTTTACAGTCTTCTCCCGTTTTTTTCTTCCCCCCCCCCCTTGAAGCCTCATCATTTAAATCGTTAACTGTTCTAGTCTGTTTTTAAGGAAAACTCAGTTTTATTGAGAAGACCACTGAAATGCTTCCACATAGTTTGACTACAGTTTACGATGGTGTACTGTTTGAGGCTCACATGCAGCTGGTTTTGGTCAAATTCTGAGTCCAAGAGGTGAAAGCACTGTAGTTACCAAATACACCACCCTGTGAGTCACAATTACTGAAGGATGCGGAATGTTACAGCAGATGTTTGCAGTGGCAATAAATTCATAAGTCATTTCAGGTAAGACAACACTAGCAGGTAGTTGGGGGTGTGTCTCCTCCCCCCCCCCCCCACGCTCTGGAGCATATAAGTAGTATGCAATCTATGGAGATCTTGAATCACAGGGCTTGGATAATCTTCCAGAGAAATACTGAAAAATACAGCAACTCTATTTGTAGGAGTAATTTGGTTGGTTGTAATTTTCTCTGTGTTTGCAGTACTGAGTAGCTAGATGTAACTTTTGGCTAGTGGTTTCAATTTGCATGATAGTTTGATGTGCTGTTTTTAATGTAGCTGAAGTAATCAGTTAACCTCTTTAAGGATAACCTGCCATAAAGGCATTTCATTATGAGTTCGTGGGATAAAATGGTTTAAGCTCACCAGATGATTTTCTTGATCAGGCATCCTGTACACCTGTATGACCCTATATTGCTGTTAGAACGTCAAGAGTCCTTTTCAAGACTTGAGTCTGTCAGAATATGCCCTAGCAGCCAGCACAGCACATTCATGATTGATTTTCTTGGCTTGGAAATCAGTATTTGGTGTAATATTTGATAGCATGGGGGTTAGTACAAATGGAAGAGTTAACTAGTCTTTGGAGAGTGAGAGATACTCCTTAGCACTGCATTTCACTCCACAGAAACCACAAGCAAGCTACTATAGCTGTAATTACAGGGTTGGGTTTGTTGTTTTTTTTTTTTAAAGTTACTTTTTTTTATTCCATTGATTAATGTTTCCATGTCTGCTTCTGTATATTTTTGTTCAGTTAGCATCAGTGTTACTGGATAGTAGACTTTCAGTGCTTCAGGCCCATCTAAGTTCATCCAGACTAACAACAGCTGCAAAGTCACAAGTCAGAATGTCACAGATAATCACCAAAAGTCTTGGTTGTCATATTAGAAAGGATAGAATCATGTCTTAGCAACTTCTTCCTGTTTCTGAATGCTTATGCCTGTTTTTGCATTGATGTCCATGGAATTTCAGTGTCAGAGAACTGGGGAGAACTTAAGCATTTTTTTTTTATTTTGAAGTAGAAACCTGATAAATGAGGAGTCAAAAAATGTATAAGGTGAATGTTTGGATTTTGATTCCAGGACATTTGAGTTAAGCTTATCTGATCTACTCTCAGGTGAACGCTCCAAACTTTTTAAAGCTAGTCAGAAGTTTCCTTGGTCCCAAAGTAAGGATATCAACAAAGCATGGTACCATATGGAATTTTGGAAAACAAAATCCCAGCTAAAATGAGAATTTTGATTTGGAAGTGTCTGTCACAGATACATGTTTGCATGAGTATCTTCAGTGTCTTTACTGATGGCAAGTTGAAGGCACGTTTGTACAATTTATCCTGGCAAAAGCAACAGGCAGTTGATTTATTAGATCACAAGTCACAGATGCGTTGTAACAGCCTTGTTAATAGAGCATTTCCACAAATTCTTATGCTGTTCTGCTTTTGTATTGCTACATTGGGTACAGCAAGCACAGTACCATTTTGGATGGGCAATCAAACAAAAGTTCCCTGGTTCAAAGAGGTATTCCACTCAGTAGCAGTCTTTAGCCACCAGTCTCAAGATACGTTACTGGTCTTTTTGTGAATCGCATGTGATTGTATCATTATTGTCAGATCCAGCAAGGGTTACCTTGATGATCTTAATTCATAAAGTCTGGCAAGTCTGCAGAAGGCAGCTGGGGAAACCAGTATGTCTTTTTTTTAATCCTACTTCTTTAATAATGTGACATTTTAGATGTTAATACTTAACAGTACATACTTCAGTAAAGATGGACATTTCTCCTACTTTCCTCCTTGCCAGCTGTGAGTGAACATTTCCTTTGGCAGAACCAGTAGTGTGACTGCATTAAATCCAGATGCTCCAAAATGTGCTGAATATTTGGAAAGGCCATGTGAAAAGAACAGATAGGCTGCATCTTCAGTGACAATAAGAAATCAAAAACCCAGAGTCAACTTTTATCTGTATATTCTTGTACTTGTATCCATTAGAGAACACTGCAGTAAATATTTCAAAGCCTCAAATGCTTGAGAGTATCCTTACATGGTGAATCATGTTTATGTTACTGTTGAGATACCTGTTGAGTTTGATGCTTGATTATAAGATTTTTAAACGTGGTCATTTAACTACCTTCTGCTGGTCTCTTCAAGATTTGGTTCAGCAAACAGAGAGCATTAAAGTGCTGAATCTTGGACATGACACACAATATGATTTTTCCCACATTGCTAAGTAAATAATCTTCAGAATTACAATATCGGTGATGCAGTTCAGTGTAGCAGTACAGACAGCAGTGTCCTAAGCATTGTGCAGTTTTTATCTGTGAAATTGGGAAGAATTTTCATGCAGGGACAGGCTTTATAGGCAGTAAATGTGCCTTCAGCAATCCAGTGGTTTCTCTATCTGACTTAGCGTTACAAAAGCAATTGTGTATGAATGATCAGATAAATGGTGTATGTCCTCAGCACAGATTGTCAAAAGAATTGCCAAGACTGTTTATTTTGTTTGCTCCAAGAAAAAGTGCTTTCCAAGTAAGAATCCCATGATACAGGCTGCCTTACTGTATTCTGGCGTTGCCACATTAGGTTGTGGAAAACAGTAGAGTCTCCATCTCCTAGCAGCAGGTACTTCACTGTTCTTATTGCTTACTCTTGGTAAGTAGGATGCGAGGAGAAGGGTCTTTAGGGGGAAAACTGTAAAAACTGCTGGAAAATACCTTTTCCTCTCTCACCATCATCATCATCATTGCAAGCATAACAAAATACCAGAAGATGCAGTTAATACTAGCAAAACCAGCAGAAGTGTTTCAACAATTACTAATGTACTTTAGCTTACTGCCATTTTAATATAACAGTTTGTAGGTTGCAGCCCTTGTGATGTTTTCCTTTCTGCAGAAAAACTATCTTCATTTGTCAGTATTGGCTATAATATGTAAGTATTAGATAGCAACTACTGGCTACAGAGAACTCTTCCTATTGTTTCCTATTGGATATAAAGATAAAAGGTTACTAAACAGCTTTCCAAACAATGACATGGCCTTTTCATTGCTTGACTGGAAGAAACAGGGTATATCTGGACACAAAGGTTTCACTGTATGGGAAATGGCAGTCAGTGAAAAATTCTGCAGAGCACATTCTTAGCAGTCCATTGCAAGTGTATCATACATGTCCTTTGTTATCTATGCTGCCTTCCCATACAATTTCAAATCCAGCCACAGTGCTTATCTTCAGCAGGCTCCTTTGAATTCAGGATTCTTGAAAGTTTGATGAAAGGTCTGGAAAAAGGCTGTAGTCATCAGCAATGCTGTTCTAGCAAACTGCTGATTTTTTCTAGCAAACAATAAGCTGACCTGTAAGAACAAGCTTACCTGAGAGCCAGGGAGGACTTCCATAATGCTCACTACTTGCCATGCATCATGTGCACAGCATTGACCTCAACATTTCTATTACATTTAATGATATTTAGTCTTGTTTCTCAATGCATTACTGGAAGAAACTCAAGCAAGATCATAACTGTGATAGATGTAGTCAACGTTGAAGATAGATACAGCAGTACTAATGAGTAGGAATGCAGTATGCTGCTTGAAAATGAATTTCACTGTGTTCTCAAAATCAAGCTTCATGAGATACCCACCTTTCTACGTGAAGCCTTGCAGAACAAATTAAGGATCCCTCACACTTGTACTTGCTGTTCTTGCAGGAGAAGAAAGGATAATACAAAGGTCCTCCTAAATACAAAGAAGGTCCTCCTATTTTTTTCTGACTCAGTATGAAACATCAGACATTACAGTGTCTGCTTCTTTCCTGTTAGGGTGGTGAGTCACTGGAATAGGTTGCCCAGGGAGGTTGTGAATGCTCCATCCCTGGCAGTGTTCAAGACCAGGTTGGATGAGGCCTTGGGTGATATGATTTAGTGTAAGGTGTCCCTGCCCACGGCAGGGGGGTCGGAACTAGATGATCTTAAGGTCCTTTCCAACCCTAACGATTCTATGATTCTATGATTCTTGTTGAAAATCCAGAGGCTGCCAAACCCGAGAGTAACAAGAAACATACACTTCCTCAGTGGCGGCAAGGGATACATGGCATTTCCTTGAATCTGTACATTTACATAGGCACCACTCCACCAAGTAAGAGGTTGTAACAATTGCTGAGAGTATGTGTAAACATCATAAGCTCTAGCTTTTTGGGTAAGATCAGTGAAAAAAATAAATTGAGTTCTGCCTGGTAATGTGTGGAAGATAGATAAAGATGATGAATCATAGAATCACAGAACAGTTAGGTTTGGAAAGGACCTTAAGGTCTTCCAGATCTTAAGATCATTAAGTTCCAGCCCCTGCCATGGGCAGGGACACCAAACCCTAGACCATGTCACCCAAGACTGTCCAAAAAGAAAAAGCTAAAGTTCCAATTTTTGTTGGTTTGTTTTTTTGTTTGTGGTTTTGTGTGGTTTTGGTTTTGTTTGGGTGTTGTTTGTTTGTTGTTTTTTTTTTTAATTGTTTTACAGTCTGGTACTTATACCAATTTTTCTCTGCTTTTGAGACTTGTACTTTTAAGTACATGAGACTTCAGCAACTGCCA